TGAATGTTATTTTTAAAATTTCCTGAGAATTTAAGTATTTCGGTCCAGTTTTCGGCACTGTCTGATTTCAGCATTTTCTCAGTAATTTTTTAATGCTTGTGCAGTTGAAATGATGGCAAAGATGACAGTAAAAGAGGATGGTAAGGTTGAAGAAAGCAAATAATAAAAAAATGCCTCTCGTAAAAAGAGATGCATCAAATGGTGTATATATGTGCTGTAGATGAATTCCTGGAATTAATCTTGAAAGGGAACAATCCTTAATATCATGAATGCTGCTACTTTATGTACAGATCTGCCAAGGGTGCCTTTGTGGGGAATGTGTGCTGAATATGGTTGCTCTTTCACCACTGAAAAAAAAAAGACCCTTGCTTTCTGGTGTTTCTGTCACTCTGTTCATGCCAGTGCTTTATTCTTAGCACTGGACCAACAGCTCTAGTAAATTTGACAAGGTGGGATTTGTTTCCTGCTGGCTGTTCCAGCCCCTAAAATGCATACACATGAGGCTTGACAGTTTCTAGAAGCTTGTAGAAAGCTCTTCTTTTTTGTTTTTTTTGTGTGTGTATGTGTGTGTGTGTGACTGTGGGCTTCTAATGCAAGGAACAAGTTCCCCAGATTTTTGAATTAATGACTTCTCATAGGCAAATATAACTTAAAATGTGATGTACAGTATAATTTCATTTTGAAATTCACTCCTCATCTTCATCTGGTGTCTGATGACTGTTCATTCTTCTCTTTCAGATCAAAATAAGCAGTATTGATTGAATAAACTAGGTGCAGAACATAAACATTATTGAGAGCTAAGGAGTTAAATATTAGAGAATGATCCTAATAAAACAAGTCAGTCCATCTCTTTATGTTAATTTACATTTTATAATGTTCACTCTGATGATAGGATTTTCTAAGCAGCTATTTTGTATGTCTATCTGCTAGATATTTTTTCTGCTGTGCAGAGATATTTTTCTTTGAGATACCTCACTGATTAAAGACTTCAGGATGCAGAGGCTCTTTCCACAAAATCTCTTGTGAGTTGCAGTTTGGCTGAAGACAAAACAGGTTCTGATGGGATACTGCAAGCCACCAAAGGTTGGCATCCTGCCAGGTAGGAACCGTGCTGACACCCTTTGCTCAGCCTGTTACTCCTCGGAACCGGAGTACAGCTTTGTACTGTGGCTTGCCACTTTGGTCATCCTCTGAGTTATATCTGCAGGGATTCAGAATTCTTTTGTCTTTAATTATCTTTCTTTAAAAATCAAAAAGATCATATCTATATCATTTTGATCTCGCCCAGAGAAGCTGGCCAAGCTGTGTGTGCCTCAGTCCAATTTCAGTTTGGCTAAGCTGCTTGCCCCTTTTTTTGAAAGGCTGATGACTAAAACCTGCCTCCTTGTATTTCATGAAAAATGATAATCTCAAGAACTTTTGAGGGAATTAATGCTTCATAATTGAGAATCAAATGATCCCCACCAATTTTAGCTTTCTAGATGTATTCATGCAGAGGAAACCCCAGCAGAACTATATTATTTATTATCTGGACATTACTTGGCATTTTGAGCCCCAGCCTTAGAGCAGAAATAACTTGAAAAGTATTAAATTTGATAGATTAAAAATATGCACACAAGCCCCACTGTAAAACCAGTTTTCTAGCTCTAGGGACTGCTTTATGTTCCTACAGGTTAACAAAAGCTTTGGTTCTTCTTTTGCTTTAAGTTATAACTTTTCTGGCCTTTAGCAAAAATATATGAAGAAGCCTTGCAGGGAACAATAAAAGGAAGAAGCATGACTTGGGTGTTTAATTTAGAAAAGTAGCTATTGAACATGGTCAAGTTCTTTTAGAAATAAAAAATATGCAGGAGGATTTTGATTTGTGGTTTTAGCAGATCTGCAGAGCAGTTGCACTCATCATATATGAGAGGATTTTAAAGGCACAAATCAAACTGGGAGATGAACCTCTCATCGTGCCAAAGAAAATCTCTCCCCTACTCTACTAAAAGGAGTTAAGGTGCGGTCAAGAATGTGACACTCTTCACCTTTGAATACAGTTCCAGGTACTGAGAAAAGTGAGAGTTTCTTCAGTGATAATTATCCCTTGAATCATTAATCTTCATTTACAGAAATTTCTATCAGCATATTGACATGATAAATTCTAATGACTTTGAAGGAGCCCTTACAATTTCATAGATCAATAATCCACATTTAAAAAAAAATCTTTACTTTCCTATTGATTTAGTCATACTATGCATCAGTTGCACCAGTTCTTAAACCCATGCCTTTTCTATCTCTTTCTTTTATTTTTTTTTCCTGAAGGCTATGGTAAAAGAAAAAAAAATCATTAATGTGTGAAAAATTGCTTAATGAGCATGCTGCTCTTCAGACAGACTTGAACAGTGCTATAAACATCTGATTTTGACTGGACCATCTCTAGGTTTGCTGCAGTTATTTCAGGGATATGCCGCTGACCTGGAATTTCTCATGTGTGACAAGAAAAGCAAAGGTCTAGGCAAGGCACGTGGGACCAGACTCTGGGGTCCAGGTTGAAGCTGCAGCCACAAAGGTTGCCATCTGGAATTTTAGATTAACCGTTTTTACTGTCAGATGAGTGCTCAGCAAGTCCATCCTTCTTTCTGTTAAGGAGGAGGCACTTCTGTTTCCTTGGCTGATTGTTACAGATTCATCAGTCTCAAGTGAAAGTCTAATTACTAAAAGTGATTAGACACTTGCAATGCATAAAACAAAATGCAGAGTTCACTTTTTCTCCCTTTTGAGTTGGCTTGTGTTGTTCGTGTGTGTGTGCCCCCTCGTGTTCCCTTTATCCTGTCATCTAAAAAGGAAATTTTGCTTTTCCAGCTTTTTTTTTTTTTTTTTATGATCGCGATGGTGTCTTACCTAGGTGTGTGTGTCTATGAATCAGCCTGCAGAAGTAGATACAGTAGTGCTACAGTAGCTGTGTACAAGGAGGCAAGTAAAGAATGAAATATCAGTCTCCAAAAGGATGTTGCAAGGTTATGCATCTAAAAACTGATCTACCTCAAGGGTGGCTCTAACCGAAAGATTTTTATTTCAAGAAATCCATAAGGGCATTTTATTATCAGACTGATCTTGCGCCTCCTCACTAGTCCTTGGAAAACAAATAAGCCTCTGCAAATACATAGCGTTCACTGAAAGAGATGGCAGGCAGGCATCAGTTCAGCATCACTGCTTGTTTGCTATTTCTATCATAGGAAACATGAATTGATTTGGTGTACATTGTATCACAAGCAATTTTTAGGTTTCAGATATAAAGAATGGAGAAAGAAGTGCACCGACAGTCAGGTATAGGCAATCTTTTTTAGACAAGGGGCTAGCGTGAGATGCAGTTCTTACCCTACAACTAAACACTCTCCCAGAATTAGGATTTCTTTGAGCTTTTTGTGATTAATTTTTTTGTTGTTGTTGTCAATTTTTTGGTTTTGCCTTTTTTTTCTTTCTTGGCTTTCATAATGCCAGTGATCCAAATAATATAATTAAGGACAGTTTTGAATTTGAATATAGTCTACTAAACCTCAAAATGCAAAACAACAAATATATTGTTGAATTTTAAATCCGTAGACAGTTTTACAAAAATACTGCTAATCATGGATGTCTGCTTTCCACACAAAAATTATTACTCAACCAGAAGTTGCTCCAGGTAGATAAATAAAGCAATTGGCAATTTCTGTCAATTTTGGACTTAGATGAAACCTGATAATCTTTTTTTTTTTTTTTTTAATATGCAGAGACTCAGGAGATGAAATTATTCAGCTGGTACTGATCACATAGTTAAAACTTTCTTTAAGTATAATCACCCGCCTTATTAACTTGCTATGTTGTACAAAAATTTTCATGAAATTGCAGTTAATGTGTAAGGTTTTATAACAAATGTCAGACCGCAAGAGTATGGCTGCTAGGAGGCCTGAATGTAAGATTTAGTCTTGAAAAACTCTGTTTGCTTTTATTGGTGGGGAATTACTACTTCTCTATATCTGCATAGTGCATTTGCACTAAATTAGATAGAAATTTGTGGAAATGTCATACTATTCATAAGGAGAAAATGAATCTCAGTTCCTCCTTACAGAGGAGCAGCTGTTCTGAAGCCCAGAAGAAAAAAAGAGCAACTAAGGCTCTGCTGCAGGAAGAGGATCTGAATAAGAAACAGATGAACAGTGGTGAAATTTCACTCAAATTCTACTCAAATTTCTACTTTCGGCCCTAGTGAGATATTTATTAGAAGCTGCTATTTAAAAGACAGTATTTGATATTACCACCCCATTGAAATATATAAGACCAGTTTGTGCCTTTCCCTCCAGACATACTAAAATAAGAGCAGAACAGGTCAGAGCCAGAAGATTACTCTTTCCAGTTACCTAACCCTCGCTTCGTACACCTGCCTTTCTCAGCTGCCTTGCTGGGGCAGGAACACGGCTGATATGAGTGCTGAGTCCTGGGACGTAGCCAGTATGGCACATGCACCTGTAATTTGGGGGTGGAGATAGACATATGAGCCTAGAAACCCCCTTGTAGCTGCAATATGCTCCTCTTTTAAAGTGGCTATGATGAGTGTTTTGACTTGGTTGGACCTTCACTGCTGGTTGATTTTTTTCTCTCTCATCACAAGATTTATTTTGTTTTGTGAAAAGAGTACACATAAGATGTGCAGGACAGTCCTGGAAGGCCTAATGAACTAGCCCAAAAAATTAAATCTTCAAGGAATTGAGTTAGAATTGCAGTTTAATTATAATTACCAACTCTAGGCATCTGATTTTTGTCTATGTATAGTTAAAATAATACCTATTTTACAAGTGTCTTTGAAGGACTCATGATTTCAAGAAACCCATA